GAGGTAGTTGCACCAATGAAGCTAATATTCTTTTTGTGGAAAGAACAGGGTTGACTTGTACCAAACACCCTAATCCCTATAAGCTATACTGGTTAGATGACAAAAAAAATGTCAGTGCCACCAAGTAATTCTGAGTTCCGTTTTCCATTAGTAAGTATAAAGACGCGGTGCTCTATGATGTAGTCCTTATATAGGTTGAACACCGATTATTGGGACGACCATGGCAATATGCCATGGATGTTAACCATGATGGTGGAAAGAACCAAAACACTTTACATCTAAATGGTCTCACCCATTTTCTTACACCGCTATCAAGAAGAGAGGTATACGAAAACCAACTTAAGATCAAGAAAGCGTATGATGAGTTTGTTGGTAGGGAGGAAAATATGGATAATCCCCATATATAAACAAAGAAGTGTTTTCCTTATATAAGAGCGTTAAGGTGTGCCTTGCATGCCATATTATTTAACCCTTTTTTTGTTTTCTTTATCTTTGCAGGAAACTATTACAAGTAGTTCAGATTCGAGAATGAATCTTTTCGAATAAAGGGGAGATGATGTGACCACGGAAAAGAATGACTCTAACGACAAGTGGGAATTCCATATAGGGGAATTCCCACAACTTGGCCACTCACAGACATACAACAGTAAGAGGCTGTAAACACTCAAGAAGTAACCTGCCTTAGAGCGCATTAGGAAGCACCCACAGACAAAGAATTTTCATCAGGATGCTTATCATGTCCACGCCTAATAGGCAAGTAATTCTGGGTATGTGACATTTTTTAAATTGGTTTATCCCAAACATGAAAGTATCAACACCCCTAAACATTTTCCTAAACAGGGTTAACAACAAAGCAAGTCAAAAACAAGGCAAGAAAGTGGACTTGAAGCCTAAAAAGGAAACCATGGGCTTGGAGACTCATATAGTGGAAAAAGGACCATGCCTTGGTCCAAAACAAGGAGGCATTAAGTCCTCACGACCAAGGAGGGTCACAACCCAAGGATGTTGCATCAAAAGGAAGTGGGTCAGGCCTTGTTACGATCTTAAGCACCCTCTGTTGCACGCAGGAAGGCATATAGAATCATCCTTATGAAAGTCTATATAAAGGCCTCAACTTAGGTTGTAATTCACATATATCAATCAACTTCACTATTATGAATAAAATTTTAGCTTGATTTTTTAAAATTAGATTTGTTAATTTGAGAGTGAATGTTCTTCATCGAAGGTTACTTCAACTATTTTATTAAGTTGAGGAATCTAAATTGACTTATCGAGTAAGTCTTGATGTCTTTTTTTTATTTTTATTTTAATTCCTAATTACCTTACTTTGCATTCAAATTGCTGAATGTACTTCAAGTAGGGAGGGTTGTTAGGGAACTAAGTTTTTGCATATAGTATATAATAGGTTCACGATCAATATACTTTTGATCTTAGAGCTCTCCGCATCAATGAGGTCTCATAAAGAAAGAATCAACGGTAGTAGAGATAGACAAATGCTTGATGTTAGAGAAGGAGTCAATCAAAAGTTTTTCGGCTGAAGCTGTGTACACTTCAGTATACTTGCTTAATAGATTTCTCGCAAGATCAATTAAAGAAACAACCTCAATTGAGACTTGAAGTGGTTCAAAATATTCAATAAAACACTTGAGGATCTTTGTTCAATTTACCATACACTTATTTCTTCTGTAAAGAGGACCAAGTTAGATGACAGAGATCAAATTGATATATTCTTATAATATGTAAGACAAATTAAAAGTTATAAAATCTATGATGTGCAAACATATATCTCTTGATATAAAATATATAGATGCAAAAATTTGATTTACCTTTTTTATTTTTATACTGTCTAGAAGATAGAGAAGTACTGTAATTATTTTAAATTTATAAATGGTAAATATATAATAAAATAAATTTGATGAATATCATACGTGAACAACATACATGTAGCATTTCAGCATTGGGTTTTAATGATACAGTTGGGATGGATGTATAGCCTTGAAAAGTAATTA